TGTGCCTATTCCTCCTGAGCCTCGTGAGCTGGTCCCAAATTTAGGACACATAAAGGATTAATCAAGCTTATACCCAGGACATGTCAGACAGAACATTTCTATATACTTACGTAGCGAGAACAACTCCATCAGAACCACCTTGTATAGAGAAGAGTCTGTGCCCTTTCAAGAAACCAAGGGACACAGTCAGATGCTTGTGTATTTGGATGATCAGAACACACTAAGTGTATCCCAAATTTTCAAAATCATAGGATTGGTTTAAAAGGTATGACACTTAAGAAAATAATAATATAGGATTGGTTTTCTGCCTAGTGATTTTCCAAATCTTTGCTTCTTCATCTTTGACCCACCATCTTAGACCCAGGAAATCTGCTTCATTAAAAAAAAAAAAAAAAACAGAACAAACCCCGACCTGCTCCAAGAGTGAGGCTTTAGAGAAATCCCTGCCAAATATTGTACGTTGACAACTCCACAAAAGCTTTTGTTTTGGGTCTTCTGCTCCAGAGCAGTTTCAATTTTGCTTTTCATATGTTTACCCAGCACATTCAATATGAAATGAATCCTATACCCTTTCTTCTAAATATGTATCTTGTCTCCAACCAGGGGAAACTGAAATATAGGATGTTTGAAAGAAATTCAACTATCAACTGATTAGACTCAATTTACTATGTTCATCAAATGCAATCTTAGTTTTCAGCTGTAAACCCAATCCTGTTGGTATCCAGCAGTAATTTCACAAGTATATGCTCTGCATTAAAAATATATATACTTGCATACATCCATACGTCCAGGGTTTCAGTACATTGGACCAAATTCTGCCTTGAATTATACTCCACTGACTTCAACAGAATTTCTTAGGAATATACATAGAGTAGGCAAAACTAGATCCATCACTGCTGCATAGCCTACTTCCTTCTCATTCCTTTCATTGATTTTCCTCCCATTTGGCCCCATTCTTAAAGTCTTTGCCAGGTTAAGAGTTAGGCAAATTATTTGGAAACAACTTGTATTTACTGATCCTCATTCACTGTATAAATTACACAATGCAGTCATGGGAGGTAAAAGAAGGATTTTTGCTAATATCTTATTTAAATACTAATTAACGAGTAAGTTCTAAAGATACAGGCACCTTTATCACTCGTGTGCTTCCAAAACATTTTAAAACTTTGATGGAGCACACAATCTTCTATTCCCTTCTGAGCAACTAATATTCATTTAAACACTATATTGGTTTTTTCTTTCTACTTCGTGTCTGCTGTTTGCAAATTGATCCTTATGACTCTACAAATTCAAGGCAGTTATACCTTGGAATTCATTGGAATGCTGCCAGACCTATTATCTGCAGGACTTTCTAGCTGCATAAATAAAATGTCAACTAACTGAATATACTAGGCATACAAAGCAACATAGAAAGCCATCTGTAATTAAGAGGCATAAAAAGAGCTCCACTATCTTGCTATGGAAAAATGATAGGTACAACTGCAATTTCAAATAATTTACCCAGCAAAGAGTAGAAGTGCATAAATATACACAAAAGTCAGCGCGTTAGTTCTCAATATAGATCTAATTAAATTTAGTCAGAACAATGAATTACAATAGCTTAGTTTATGTCTCATAACAACTATTGTATTTTTCTTCGTACTTAGCAAATTTAGTCTTTTTGCAGATCTTTTGCTTACACAGGTGCAAATTTCTTGAATCTGACACTGTTTTCTATCCCACTAGTGATCTTTTTGTTTTGCACCTACCAGAAAGCTATGCTCCTCTGCCACCTAGTGCTTTAGAGAAGTATATATTGTATCAACTGCCAGCTCTTGCACAGTGTGTTCAACAGAATAGATGAGGACTGTGCAGAGACCTTTTATTAAAATTTCCTTGCTAAATGGGAGATTAAACAGAAACTTAGTTTGTCAACCTCTATGGATACCGTAATTGATCACTGCCAGAGATCACCTCTATCTCTGCAGATCTTAGTATGATACAAAATAGCTTAGCAGCTTGCATCCTTGTATTTTAGGACATCACATCATCTTCCTGGTTCTTTCTAAAATGTAAAATAAGATAATTTTTACATGAAATCCTTATAGAAGAAAAACATAATCAAATATAACGTGTGTTTAATTGTATGAAATTTTCCAACAAAAAAGAATGTCTTTTTCAACTACTAGCAGGTTCCCAATGTATCAAAGTGAAATTCCCCTGAGGCATACAATTTTTGTTTTTAAATGGATTCTGGAGTACAGCATTTGTAACAACCAGCTTGCTTTCTATTAGTTTTAATTCACATTGTTTCCAAAGTGTATGTTTATATATTAGCACTATTGCAATTTATATTTCTTTCAAAATTACATCTAAACAGGGTTTATTTCAAGTAACAGACTATGCCACATGTTTTAGAGGAATTTTGGAATTTTTTTTAATTTTTTTTTTTTTTAAAAAGTAATAGAGGTTCGTATTGTCAGTGTTAGTAAAATGAAGCTATGAAAGTGAGCTTTCCTTTACTCTTCTTTTGAAGGAAAAGTCATTCGAACTACACTGTTTTGACTCTCTGAAGATAATTTCTTTTTTGGAAAATTAACTGGTACTATATCAATTGCATATAAGAATCTTGAATATTTGTCAGTTGTTTCTAATTTTTCTTTTAGAGACCATGAATACCAGCTATTTTAATGACTTTTTTCCCCCACATTACTCAGAAATCACTACGAAACATTATCAAGCATCTCCTCTTGTCTGGATTGCACAAATGCAGTACAAACATAAGCACTATGTCTGTGAAATGAATCATTACCTAACCGTGACCTAGCAAGTATCTAAAAATGTCAAATGTGTTGACACAGCCTAACTTCACTCATGTTTCATAAGAACTCTATTTGTAAAGCATCTTCATTGCTTCACCGATACTATAATTCAATAAACTAATGCAATACACTGCCAATTATAATTATTACTCCATTAGCAGAAACCACATGTCCTCTCTCATGTTTAGAGAAAAACAGTCTTTTTTTTTTTTAAAACAATATATCTGTGTTTCTGAGAAATCAACCTATGACTCTTAACATCCCAGGCTAATTTAGCTTACTTCTCTACAGATACTTTGTCAAAAATACAAATATATAAAAAGCAACTAAGACAGTAAGGTGTAACTGGTCCTATGTGGACAAAGAAACAAAAAAACCCCCACCTCTCCCTAAAATACATACACACCTTTCCCTTGGGACAATATACCTGTCTTACTGCTTGGCTAATCTCCCCTCCAATATGTCAATCTCATCCCATGCAGCGCTGTCAAAAGTAAGCCTTCCACTCTGCATCCTGCTTCCCACCTTTTATTGGCTTCAGTTCTGAATAAGTGAAAACCAGATATAACTGGAATAAACCCTGTTTGGACAAATCGAAAAGAACTTATGTTGTTTGCTTGGATACTGTCAACTAAATGGCATAATTTCCAATTATCAGCTTTCATTATTCCTTTAGACTATGGAGGAAATGTAACATCTCTGCTAACATCTGTTCCTACCAACTATGTTTCAAAACATAGAATCTGGAGTGAGGAAAGCAGAAGTGAAGCGTTACAGCACACACGAGCCCACTCCTTAAGCAGGCATAACCGGCTCAGCCACGGACAAACGAAGGCTATTCTGGAAAGCGTGGTCCTGTGTCCTCCACTTTCATATTCCTACTGTCCACGTTGCCACTTTTCTGACCCTGACACGAGCCAAGCTACAGGGAGGTACCCACTGAAAACCAAGCTGTAGAAAGCCAGGGAACAGTTCTCTGCCAGCATAGCTCCCTGAACCAGGACAGCACAGGAGCAGATACACTCAAGTGCCACGGAAACACAGGGGCAACCTAGCCAGGGTTAGGGGCAGGCTTGCATTTTTTGGCAGCAAATATTTATTAGACTGGCTGAGCCATATCAAACAGTACCATTTGCATATTGAAATCCCAACCTAAAATTGAAAACAATCTTAATCTTAAATGCAATGGTGCTACTGTGTGGCTAAAACCAAAGCGAAAATCCACAGCTAGGTGCTGTAACTGCACCACTGGAGAGTACCAATGGACAGCAGAGGGCAGAGCTGCCCCCTCTCTGTAGAAGACTCAAGACAGGATGGCACTGCTGTTCATTGCAGTTTTCCAAGCACACACTGACCACCCAGACTACTTAATGGCAATAGCTGCAACGAAACAGCTTTGACACTTGTCAAATTTACAGATTTCCAGTCATTACATGTCAATTTGTTATTTCACTCACGAAATCAAGTGCACTTTGAGGGGAAAAAAAAGGCTTTCCATATCCCTTCAAGACAGAAAATTATTTTGTATACTGACAACAGCAAGAAACACTTAACCTTCAGTCTGGTACAGAAAGAGTGCAAATACTACATGGCAACCACTATTTTGCTCAAAAACAGGAATATCACCAAGTATCTCAAACAGCAGCATTGTGGAGAGATCCAGGCAGCTTCTGTTAAGAGCCATGGAAATAACCAGATAACTGTATCTTTCCTTGTAAATATCATCTGTATCTAATCAACATTGGTTTTGAACTTCCCCCCCCCCCCTTTTTTTTTTCCCCTCCAAAAGAACAGCAGCCAAACCTAGAAAGTAGATTTCCCTGGGAAACTTAACATACTTTATTTTACATCTGTGAATGTTTTCCCTTTGTTAAAAAAATGTTATTTACAAAACCAGCATAGAACATCAGCATACAAATTATTCAGTGTACTGTACGCAGGTGTCCAAACCCAAGGTAGATGCTGATTTCTTTTTAATTGTTAACTGCTACGATGTATCACTGAGAAGCATTTCCCACTGCATGCTATAGAAACACCACCTGACTGCAGAATCATATGGCATGACATGCAATTCAAGCAGGCTTCCCAAAAGTTCACAGGTTTTCTGTATCAACACTGAGCGAACAAAACAAGGAAAACACTCTTGAAAATCATGATCTTGCTGTAGCAACTGTTTTTGTTAGCATTAGTTCTGTAGCATCAATTTTGAACAAACCAAGACGGACGCTTTCTGGCTCTTTCAATGATCCGCTTGCCTTCATCTTTTTCTGTGGGCTTTTCTCCATCATAAAGGATGACAGTCTCTACAGTTGGAGCATTAAATGGTCCTCCTTCCTTTTTATGTATTTCCATCCGTATCAGCCGAGTTTCTGCTTTGACCTTTGCATAACAATAGCCACAAAGGACGTGTTTCTGTTTCAAGTTTCCACACTCAGGACAAACATCTATGTTCCTCTAAAAAAGACAGTGGAAAATAGGAAATTTTGTAATTTGAACAGCAGCAACAAAAGAAACAGGGAAGAATCACAAACTACTAAAAATGTTAAATGACATAACAGAGAAATTCAGTTGCCCTTTCAATATTTATTCTTCTATGTAAAGTAATTTTTCTGTAATGTATTGCTATGTCTACTTAATTGCTACTAAATTGCTTAATTGCTACTAAAAATAGCCCATGAAGTCAATACCTAAATCGTTATGCCTATTGATATTTGAAGACTAAAGACCTATCAACTCTATTAGATGTACAGAAAGGATAGACCTTTTCCATTTATACTCGCTGTTTAGCTAAAATTCGCATTTTGTTGGCTTGCACCTAAACTGTCACTCTTCATTTAACCACAGACTACTGCCACACATGATGAATGTACGTGTTACAAAGTATTTCGAAGATTACAATGTCTTTTAAGCTTATTTATAAACAAATCCCAGAAAGCTTTTTCAGTTGGTATTGACCACTATAATGATTCTCTAAAATTAGTGCGATGAAAAATGACTGGTGTAAAACTTACTCCAGCATGCTTGTTTGCCATTAACAAAATTACTTGCAGTGAATATGGTGGCAAGCCCATGGAAATCTGGTGATTACCTTTACTTTTATAAGCTTATTGGGATTTCTTCGCCTGCAGCGGTTCACTTCAATGGTGCGCCTTTTCTTTGGCGCCGCCATCCACGAGATGCTCTCTAACAGGCTTGGCGCCTCATTACTTTCCCTAGTATCGTTTACTGGTTGTGGAAGAAAAGCTGGAGCTTGGACAGCAAGTGCTGGTCCTGAAGGAAAAAGAAAAGGTAATTCATTACGCCCAATCCCCGTTTTCGCGTGCAGCCGAGGAAATACGACATGGATGCTACTGACACCCCAAAAGCGAGGAGGTAAGAGCGGTCAGAGGCGCCTCCCGCCCCGTTCCCTCGCTGTCCCCAGGGCTGCGCGCTCTCCTGCTCCAGCGCCCTCCCTCAGCCGTTCAACGGTAAAAATGGGTCCCGCAGCCCCGATGCCGCCCTCTCCTTCAGCCGAGAGGAGAATAGGCCGCTACCTACCCCAGGGTGGGCTCTGGCCCCCGGAGAAACCCGGCAAGAGGCCGCGCTCCAGCCGCCTCCAGCAGCGCTGAAGGAGACCGCGAAGCCGCGGTAGCGGAGAGGAG